ACATCATATTGTGACTACTTGACTACCTGTGCATATCCTACTTGTGCATAGCTTGTTTGTGATTAAACTAACCCTTTCTGTTGACTTGTTTCTTTATAAATATTTCTAAACATACTAACCAAGGAATTGTTTCTCTTATTTAACCTTCTTCTTTTTTTATTAAGTCGAGTCATAGTTCTTTTTTATTTTATTTTATTTTATTTATTTATTTATTTTTTTATTTTGAGTCAACCCAGATTTTTTATTCCCGTATACTGTACAAGTGTCACTTTGTTTTGGTGATAGCTGGAGTTCTAGAAAGAGTTACGTGTCGTGCAACCTATGGATCTGTAGCCCCGGATTTTATCTTTCATTTGGCGTTGCTTTTGTCCCAATAGGAGTCACAGATTAAAAGTTATGATTGAAATATTGCATCCTATCTAGTTTATTGAATTCTATCTTTAGTGTTAGAGGATAACTTTTTTTTATCTCTTTTGTGTAAATCTCGTCTATATTTGAGTCATAACCAATCTTCTACTCCATTTAGAAATCTAAGTTATGTCAAACTCTTATAAGATAAAATTTAAGAATTCTACTCCTATTCTAATGTTTTATCTTAAGAGTCCTCCTTCATTTCATATTCCTATCTTTCTATTCTTTTTTTTTTCACCTTTTAAAGTCCTACTCTAGTCAATCTTTTTAGATTTTTATCTCTTTTTTTTTTATTATCATCTCATTTATTTTATCTTTCTCATTTCCTATCCATTTTATTTTTATCCTTTGTGTCTTGGTCAAACCATGAGTCTACCTATTATTGTAGAATTCTAGTCCACCTTCCTAGTCTTTTGTGATTATTGTGCTAACCTTTACATGTATTCTTTGTCTTTGATTTTGGTTGATTTTATCTTATTATGACTAATGTTTTCCAATGGACTGCTTTCACCAAGTTAATAGCATGAATATTAAATTTGGACAAAATTAATCAAGTTAGTTTGTCCATCTTTTAGTATTTCGGCTACTTGGACCTTGAGTCCTACGTTTTTTCACACCATTCTCATGTCTAGTCACATGATCATTAAACGAGTCTTGCACATATCACTTTCACTCACGAGTCTTTGCACACACGTTGTACATACCTTTTTCACACCATGACCATGTCTTAGGTCCATGCATGAGTCGTCCTTTCTGTCATTTGAGTTAAGGGTCCATTCTATTCTTGGATTTTTCCATATCTTTCCACAAATACACTCTTTCCCTTTACATCATTACATACCTTGCACTTTCCTTCTTATAACACTTTCCACATTCTCTCATCTTACCTACATTCCACGTACATATCATTCACATCATACATCTATGTATGTTGAATCGAGTTTGAGTCATGTGATTGACAATGATTGTCCATGGTTCCCCTTTCTACAATGTTTGGTTAAGGAGTGAAGGACGCTTAGTCAAAGACAACACCTTTATACAAGTACTCCTTTTCCAGAGTCTAGTTCGAAAAAGAAGAAGAATAATAACCAGTTAAGAAGATTTGACAAACTCTAAGAAACAGTGAATGGTCTTGTTGAAATGCTCAAGGGACTTAGCACTTATATAGAGAAGGCTGAAGACCCTAACTGTTGGGTTTTGCGGTGTCCAACACCGCGCGGAAACAAAACTTATAAACTAGATCGCATGCATAATAATTACAACATGAACAAAAGCATGCAAATAAACAAAACATAAACATATAAAGAGAAGAGAGAGAAAAAAACTCACCCTAGACGCATGCTTCACTCACTTATCGAGCTCGGACTTGGAAAAATTAAAGCCACGCAAATGCAAGACCTCCAACGTCTCACATCCTCGATCACCGAACCGGAACCGGCCCCTACCCCGTAGCTTAGATGGGGCTAGACCAAAAATTGCTTAGAGTTTACGAACTAAGGTTTTCTCGCTTTTGGAGATCCCTTAGAGTTCACCAACTCAAGTGAAATTCTGATGTGTGGCATTTATGCCACCATTATAACCTCTTTCGTTAGAGATTTTCCCCGGATTTGTCACTCGTATATGCCTCTTTTCACCCCTTTTATCTCGTTTCTAGTCACTTTAGCTCCCTCTCATGTTTTCCCCTTCCCTTTTTGTCTTTTTTTTTTAGTTTTTACCTCCTCTTCGTGTGTTTTGATAGCTCCTAGCACTCGTGGGCGAATCATGGATTACTAGCTCGAGTAGAGATGCTAAGGGAGTTTGCCAAGGAAGTGGAGATGCCAAAATGGAGTGGGCGCGCTGATAAGCATAGCCGCGGGCGCGGACAGGGAGGCCCTGATGCCAACAAGAGAAAGCGGAGATGGCGAGCCGCGGGCGTGGCATTGGTCCCGCGGGCGCGACAATCTGGGTCTGACGAACTTATTACCCAGCTTGGAGAGGGCGCGAAGCCTGTTCGGAGAGCCCTCTCCCTTGCCCTTTTTCCTCATTTTGGTAGAAGACTATAAATAGTCTTTGGATTGAGTTTTTCATTAATCATTCACTATTCCATTGTCTTCAAAAAATCATTTGTAGAGAGAGAAAATCCATGTCTTTTAGAGAGAGAAAACATTAGTGTTCAAGAATTAATCTTTGTAATCAAATATTCAAGCTTTCCTCTAGATTGTTGCTGCTACTTTGATGATTTGGTAATCTTTCAACTTCATAATATCAATCTTTACTTTTGTTTCTCTAGTTTTTGATTCACTTGGTTTTGTTGCTCTTACTTGAGTTTTCCTTCATAAATATTCAAGCTTTATTGGTTTCTTTGATTTCTTTTGGTTTAAAATCATGCTAGGTTGTATTGTGATTAAATATTTGCTTAAGTTAGTTATTATGGCTATTCCTCTTCCTCTAGCTTAGATTATTAGCTAGGGAAGGGGGTGAATATAATGTATACTTGAACTTTTATTGATTATTGATAGGATTTACCTTGTGTTGATGATTTTGTGATGAAATATATTTGGAGTTAGTGTGTGCACCTTTAATCTCTAAACCCTTATCCTTGATTGACTGCATGAGAATGATTTAGTCTAGGAGAGATAAATTTCATCAACTTGCTTAAGTAGTTGCATGAGAATGAACTATCTTAGGTAGAGTTTTCTACACCTTGGTTAAATTCCTCATCGGTTTCCTTTAGTATTCGTTTATCATGATTGAAACCCCCCTCTCCCTGGTGCTTTTGCCATTGTTATTTCTATAATCTTGTCCTTTTACTTGCATTTAAGAGTGTTTAATCTATTCCCTTTGTTTTTAGTTCATTCTAGACTCAATAGTAGATGGTTTTCCCATAGGATTCTTTAAACACAAATCTCAATACCTCTTTTTGTTACTAGTAATTTATCCTAGGTATCGTTTTAATTGTGCTAAACCCCCGTTTTCTTGGGAATCGACCCTACCTTACCACTATATAAAGTTAAATTGATAGGGTTAGGATAGGAGATATAAAGTGTAATTTTGATCTAGGATAGTAAGCTAACGACCTATTGTCCACCGATCAAAATTTTGGCGCCGTTGTCGGGTAGACGACTTGTTTTGCACTTTTAATCTGCGTTATTATTGGATTTGTTGCTTTTTACTTTTCTCTTTTTCCACTTGATAGTCATTTCTAATTGTTTTCTTAGCTTTGGTGGATGAAAAGAAGATCTCAAGGACCACCTACTCACAACATCGATCACGAAATCGACTGCACCTTGAGACAAGTCCGTAGACTTTATCAAGAAGAGGGGCGAGGTTTTGGTGCTATTTTTGATAGTGAGAGTGATTCTTGTTCCTCGCATTCTCAAGGCGACGAAATGGAGGGATAACAAGTGGATGTTTTATTTCGTGAGTTCGGTAATCCGGAGGATTATGAGCTCACCGGTGGGATATTGCTACCCGTCACGGAAACTAACTTCACCATCCATCCTCAATACACTCGAATGGTTCAAGCGGAGCAATTCTCGGGTTCTCCAAGCGAAGACCCCATTGAGCATCTTTGATAGATTTCTTGAACTTTGTGCCATGATACAAACCAACCAACTTTCTCAAGAATACATTCGGATGCATCTATTCCGACAATCTCTTGCGGGGAGAGCAAAGAAGTGGCTCAAGCAAGTCAAGCCTAATTCTCTCACAACATGGAGGGAAATTGTCCAAGCATTCTTGAAAAGGTTCATCTCCGAAGAGAAAACCGCCGACATGAGGAGGAAGGTTGCATCTTTTGAACAAGAAGCGGATGAAAAGCTTAGTGAAGCTTAGGAGAGGTTTAAAGAGTTGGTGCAAGCATGTCCTCACCATGAATACAATCAAAGCTTACTCATGAGGTTCTTCTATGATGGCTTGGAGCCGATGTCTAGAGCAAACTTGGATCCGGGGGCGGGTGGACAATTGATCAAAGTCCCTCAAAATTAAGTTGAAGCAACAATTGAAGAGGTAGTCAAAAACTACTCTTGGGGAGGTAGAAGGAGGAATGCACCAAAGAAAGGTGGAAAGTATGAGTTGGAAAAGGTTGATCAATTGCAACATCAAATTGAGCTTTTGACAAAGGGGCTCGCAAAGTTGAACACCAATGTCACTAGTGGTGCAAGCTCCTCCCAAGTCAACTCTTTCTCCTGTCAAAATTGTGGTGGTACAAACCATGACACATCCTATTGTGGAGGTTTAAGCTCGGAGCATGTAGCGGCATACAATACAAGGCAAGATGGATATAGGGGAAATGGTGGAGGAGTAGCTTGGAGACAACCACCACCCGGATTTGCAAACCAACCCCAACAATGGAACCAACAAGCTCAACAACCATACAATTCCAACCCACAATACCAAAACCCTCCTCCATACCAAAACCAATACCAAAACCGAGGGGTAACTACCCAAGGAACCATCAACAAAATAATCAACACCAATACCACAACCAAAATCAATCGACTCAAAGGAGTTAAGAGCAAGAATCACAACCCGATTCTACTCAAACCTAAATTCTTCAACAACTTCAAGCCATGAATCAACAAATGCAAGAAGTCAAGGCTCATAACAAGATGGTTGATTCACAATTAGCTCAATTGGCTGAGAGAGTTCCTTTCAACCCATCTTCTACCCTACCCGGGCAATCACAAACCAACCCTTCCAACATTGTGAAACCCGATTCTTGCGAGGCAATTACTTTGAGATGGGGCACATCCTATGAGGGACCCAAAGAGGGGGATGGAGAGGAAAAGAAGGGAGAAGAAGAGGTTGCGAGTGAAGACAAGGAAGTTGAAGAAGACAAAGTTGTTGAGAAAGAGAAGAGTATGGAGAAAAAGAAGTCTAAGGATGTGGTGACATCCTCAACTTCTAGTGAGGCTAGAAATCTTGATGGACCGGTTCCTTTTCCTGGTCGACTCGCGGAGAGAAAATTGAATGACAAATTTGCAAAGTTTCTAAGTGCTATGAAGAACTTGCACATAAACCTCCCTTTGATTGAAGTTGTCACACAAATGCCTTCATACTCCAAGTTCTTGAAAGACATTCTCACTAACAAGAGGAAGCTTAATGATGAGCTTATCACTATTCCCCATCAAGTAAGTGCACTTGTTAAACATAAGATGCCCAAGAAGCAAAAGGATCCGGGAAGCTTCACCTTGCCGGTTAAGATTGGGAACATGGAAGCTAGGGGTGCCTTAGCTGACCTTGGAGCAAGTGTTAGCTTAATTACTCTATCCATTGCTCAAAAGCTTAATATTAAGATGATCCCCACAAGGAAAACCATTCAATTGGCCGACAGTTCGGTGAAGCTACCTTATGTTGAGCTTGAAGATGTCCCTATTCAAGTTGGGCACATCTATGTGCCTTGTGATTTTATAGTGATGGAAATGGAAGAGGATGTGGATACTCCCTTGATTTTAGGCCATGAAGCTCTTAAGACCTTGGGGGCGGTGATCAATCGCAAGAACAATACCATTACATGTGAGGTAGCCGATGAGAAAATTGTCTTTGAATTTTCTAAGCTACTCAAGATCCCCATGGTTGAGAAGTGCTATAGGGTTGATGTTGTGAATGAAGAATTGGATCGTTTGGGAAGGGTTATGATGAGTCCTTAAGATCCAATGGTTGAAGCTCTCACATGTGAGGAAGAATACTTCTCTCAAGAAGCAAAGGAGTTTGTCATGGCCATTGAAGAAGCCAAAGAGGAGGAAGCGAATGATCCTAAGCATGATAAGCTAGAACTTGAGGAGGAAAAATTGGAGGAGAGTTCTAAGCCTCCTCCCAAGGTATAACTCAAACCCCTTCCCCCTTCTTTGAAATATGCTTATCTTGGAAATGAAGGGGAATACCCTATTATTGTCAGTGCTTTCCTTGATGGTCTTGATTTGGAAAAATTTCTTGTTGTTTTGAGAAAATATAGAAATGTGATAGGGTATAACATTGATGATATCAAGGGTATTAGCCCTTCTTTATGCATGCATCGTATTCACTTTGAGGATGATCAATCCACGTCCATTGAACCTCAAAGGAGGTTGAACCCCAACCTCCACGAGGTTGTCAAGAAAGAAATTTTGAAATTGCGTGAAGCGGGTATAATCTATGCTATCTCCGATAGCAAGTGGGTTAGCCCGCTTCACGTGGCTCCAAAAAAGGGTGGAATGACCATTGTCAAAGGAGAAGGAGGAGAGGAAATCTCCACCCGGACGGTGACCGGGTGGAGGATGTGCATTGATTATAGGAAGTTGAAAAAAAACACTAAGAAAGATCATTTTCCTCTCCCCTTCATGGATCAAATGTTGGAGAGACTCTCCCATCATGCTTTCTTTTGCTTCTTGGATGGATATTCCGGCTTTTTCCAAATTCCTATCCATCCAAATGATCAAGAGAAAACTACTTTTACGTGTCCATATGGGACATTTGCATACCGAAGAATGTCATTCGGGTTATGCAATGCTCCCTCAACTTTCCAACGATGCATGACTTCCATTTTTGCTGAAATGCTTGAGAATGAGATTGAGGTTTTTATGGATGATTTTAGTGTTGGTGGTTCGTCTTTTGACACATGTCTTATTAACCTTGATATTTTTTTGAAAAGGTGTCAAGAGACGAGTTTAGTGTTGAATTGGGAGAAATGCCATTTTATGGTCGAGGAAGGTATTGTCCTAGGCCATAAAGTATCAAAAAAGGGCATTGAAGTTGACTCGGCTAAGGTTTCGGTGATTGCTAAGTTGCCTTCTCCTACCTCCGTTACGGGAGTGAGAGCTTTTCTAGGGCATGCCGGTTTTTACCGGAGGTTTATAAAAAAATTTTCATCAATCGCCAAGCCCTTAACCGAGTTACTCAAAAAGGATGTTGTGTTCAATTTTGATGAAGCTTGCCTTGAGGCGTTTCAAAAACTCAAGGAAGCCCTCATCTCCTCTCCCGTTGTGCAAGCTCTGGATTGGAGCTTGCCCTTTGAACTAATGTGCGATGCTAGTGATCTTGTAGTAGGTGCCGTACTTGGACAAAATAAAGAAGGAAGATCTTTGTCATCTACTATGCAAGTAGAACACTCGACGAAGCTCAAAGGAATTATACCACAACGGAGAAGGAAATGCTAGCGGTTTTCTTTGCCATGGATAAGTTTAGATCCTACCTTATATGCTCCAAAGTGATCGTGTACACGGATCACGTAGCGGTTCGTTATTTCATGACCAAAAAGGAAGCAAAACCGCGTCTTATCCGTTGGGTTCTTTCGCTACAAGATTTTGATATTGAGATGAGGGATAAAAAAGGAGCGGAGAACTATGTGGCGGATCACTTGTCTAGGCTTCCTTTTGAGAATAAGGAAGATGTTCCTATCAACAAAGAGGTGGGATTTGAAACCCTCATGGTTATGGCTTCAACATCTAGCCCTTGGTACGCGGATATAGCCAACTACCTAGCATGTGGAGTCATTCCCCCGGAATTCTCCTCTCAACAAAAGAAGAGATTTTTCAAGGAAGTGAGGAGGTGTTTTTGGAATGACCCTTATTTATTCAAGCAATGTGGAGATGGTCTTTTTCGGAAATGTGTTCCGGATCATGAGATAAAAGGAGTTCTTGAACATTGGCACTCATTTCCATGCGGAGGGCATGGAGGAGTTGAAAAGACCGTGGCAAAGATCTCCCAATCTCTTCTTTGGTGGCCAACAATGCACAAAGATGCCCATAAGTTCGTTTCAAGGTGTGACAAATGCCAAAGAAGTGGGGGCATAACCAAAAGGGATGTAATGCCTCAACAAAACATTTTGGAAGTGGAGCCATTCGATGTTTAGGGTGTCGACTTCATGGGGCCTTTTGTTTATTCTTGTGGGAATCTTTATATCTTGGTGGCGGTGGACTATGTGACCAAATGGATTAAAGCTATACCCTCCCCCACCAACGACCACAAGGTTGTGCTCAAGCTTCTAAAAAAAGTCATATTTCCACGGTTTGGAGTACCTAGAGTGCTAATTAGCGATGGTGGTTCTCATTTTGCCAAGAAGCAATTCGAAGCTCTCCTCAAAAGGTATGGGGTTCATCACAAGGTTGGTCTCCCTTACCACCCTCAAACTCAAGGGCAAGTGGAAGTGTCCAATAGAGAGATAAAAAACCTTCTTGAGAGGATGGTGAACAAGTCTAGAAAAGATTGGTCTCTTAAGCTCGATGACACGCTTTGGGCTCTAAGGACGGCATACAAAACCCCCATTGGCACGACCCCCTACCGGCTGGTCTATGGGAAGGCTTGTCATTTTCCGGTTGAGTTGGAATATAAGGCTTGGTGGGCGATCAAAAAGCTTAACATAGACATGTCCTTGGCGGGTGAGAAAAGATTGCTTAAGCTCAATGAACTTGAGGAGCTCCGGTATGATGCTTACGAGAACTCGAGGCTCTACTAGGAGAGGACTAAGAGATGGCACGACCGACATATAAGGAACAAGAGCTTCAAGGTTGGAGACAAGGTGTTGTTGTTTAACTCTAGGCTTCGGTTGTTTCCTAGAAAACTAAAATCCAAGTGGTCGGGGCCTTTCACAATTTCAAGAACAACTCCTTACGGGTCTTTTGAGTTGGAGGCGGAGGGGAACAAGTTCATGGTTAACGGGCACCGTTTGAAGCTCTACCATTGAAATGATCAAGTTGGCATAATTGAGTGCATGAGGCTCGATCCACCGGATCCTAAGCCGCTTATTTGACGATGATGTGTTATGGTCAAGCTAATGACCTTATAAAGAAGCGCTTCTCGGGAGGCAACCCGAGTTCTTAACTCTTTTGGTTTTGTGTTTCTTGTGTTTGATTAGTTTTGGATGATTTTTCTTTAGTTTCTTATTGTGTGTGTTTTGTTCTTCTAATAGGTACTTGGATCTTTGGGAATTTGGTCTACTAAGTTGAGTTTTGGAGAGGTTAAGGAGAATGGAAGAATTGAAAGTGGAGATGCCAGGAGAAACCCTGGAGAGGGCATGCACAGTCCATCCCACGGGCGCGACCCATAGGCCCGCTGGCGCGGAGAGAGGGTCCTTAGAATTTCAAGAAAAGTGGAGATACCTGGGAGATGGCTGAGAGAGGGCGCGGACAGTCACCTCCGCGGGCGCATATATCAGACCCGCGGGCGCCGCAGGCAGCAGTTCAGAACATCAGAAACTTGAGATGCCAGGTCCGCGGGCGCGACATCAAAACCCGCGGGTGCAGCCCTAAGCCCCGCGGGCGCGGCGCTGCAGGTCTGTGAATTTTTCTTTAATTCTCCGCCATTTGCCCGAGAAAAATTACATCCCCAAACTGATTCTTTCCCCTCTTTTTCTCTCTACTCCTCACTCCATTCCAAACCCTAACCCATTCTACCTCAATTTCTCACCCCAAATCATCAAACTCCATCAAATTTCAGCAATTTCCCTCATTTTTCTTCATTTTTTTCTCAACAAAATCTGATTTTTCACCTTAAAAACCCCCAAATTCTCGGTACTTTTTCTTGTGTGGGATTTTCTTCCACTATCAAAGGGTTCTTGGAGGTGGAGTTCATTGCTTCTTTAAAGGCTAATAGGAGTACTTGTTTGAACTCATTGTTGGTATCAATTTCTCCTTTACTCTATATTTCCTTTGAATTTGAAGTATATTGTTGTTTGAGAAAATTTCATGTTTGTGATTTTTCATGTTGGAATTGTTGATGTTTGGACTCCTATTTTGTATTCATCTATTATCTTGATCATTATTGATTTTTGAGTTGTTGTTTGTGATAGTTGTCTCTTGGTGTAGATTGCTTTGTTGTAGGTTGTTCTTGGTGTCTCTTGGAAGTGTTCTTTGTGGTGATTGCTTGGTTTTGGAAGTTTGTTGTGGGTGTTTATTGTTGTGATTTGTTGGGAGTATTTCTTGGTGATTGTAATTTGTGTGAATAATCATGGTGTTTGGTTCAAAGAAGAGAAAGAGTGGGAAGGAACTTCAAGGTTCGTCATCCTCAAAACCCCAACAAAATGAACAAACACAAACCGCTCCACCACCTCTACCACCCCTCAAATTCCACAATAAAAGCCATAAACCCATCTACGACAACCTCCAAAACGGGAAATTGAGACAAACCAAACACTACCACCAAGCTTGGGATCGACGAGGATTGTTGGTTCTTGTTTAACAATCTCGGGCTAGGCTCTTTTGTGACTAGTGCCTATCGAACCTACAAAGAGCCTACCCTTGAGTTTCTTACCTCATTCGAATGCGATGCTGCAAGGGATATGGATCTCTCCATTTCCTTCCAACTCTTTAACAAAAGAGAGACCTTCACCCTCCGCCAGTTCAACAAACTACTGGACCTAAACCCGGATGCCGATATGTTCTTTCCGAGCATGCAGGCCTCCATGATTATGAGCCCCTTCATTGGTGGAAGGTCATCTCGAGGATGGACGCCTTCAACTCAAAGTATGCCTTGGCCAGCCAAATCATGCACCCAGCCATCAGACTTCTGTATCGAATTCTCGGGTACATGGTCTTTAATAAGCAAGACTTGGGGAAGATCACAACTGACGAGATCCGAATTCTATGGCTTGCTACGCAGCCAGAGATTGGACATAGAATGAACTTCGGGTTTCTATTCACTAAGTGCATTGAAGGTGTCCTCTCGGGCACAAGGA